CTAAGGTGCATTCCGACTTTCGAAGCAGCATTCCAAAGGGGAGAGTCACGGAATTGCGCTGCGACCAAGACGGGACCCCGCGTGGCCACACGCCGCAGAAGTACGGAAAACGAGGCAGTGGAAGAGCGCAGTCGATCGCAGTGTTCGGTCTGGGGTTACTTTTGTGACCATGGCCCCCAACACTGTCTTCGTTTGCTCAGAGCCCTGGGCTGGGCGCGCGGACCTGGGGGGGGGGCCGGGGTCTCCTGGGGCCAGTCCCCGCGCCAGTCTCCCCTCGCCCTTCTACTAGGAGGCGGCCCTTCTTTCTACCGCTCGGGCCGCGGGCTGAGAGGAGGCTGTGGCCGCCGTGGTCTGCGTGGGTCTGGAAGAGGAAGGCAACCCTCCAGGCGCTCCCCTTCTCAGCTCGCACCAAATCCCACAGGGCCCCCGCCTCGGCCAGCATTTTGAGGCCCGGCTGAGAACCCTGCGCCCTTCTCAGCTTCTGCCCCTCCAAAGCCTTTTTGCAAAAGCACCCTTTGGCTCAGGAATGTGTGTTTTAGTGTACTCTGAAGAGGACCACATCTCTCAAATTCCCTTTCTGAAGCGTTTACCCCCGCCCTCCCCCATCCCCCCCCCCACCCCATCAATTTATTTTCATGTTTTACATCATCTGCTGTCTCCCTTCACACACATTTCTGTAGTTTTTTCCCCTGGGGTAGGGTGTTGTACATGGATCACTGCAATTGCTTCCCCCTTTCTACCTTTTCTCTCCCCACCTTCCCCCTACCGTCATGGTATCACTGTTCTCACTGGTCCTGAGGGGTTTGTCTGTCCTGGATTCTGTGTCGAGAGCTCTTACCTGTACCAGTGTACATGTCTGGTCTAGCAATATTTGTAAGGTAGAATGGGGGTCATGATGGTGGGGGGAGGAAGCATTAAAGAACTAGAGAAATGTTGTGTGTTTTCTCAATGGTATTCTGCACCCTGGTTGGTTTGTCTCTTCCTTGGGACCCTTCTGTGAGGGGATGTCCAATTGTCTACAGATGGACTTTGGGTCTCCATTCCAACCCCCATCGTTCACTTCAAAATGGTTGTTTTGGGTCTCCTGATCTCATGGGTACCTCGGGATCACATGGGTTGGTGTGTTCCCATGTGGGCTTTGTTGCTTCCCTGCCTAGATGGCCGTTTGTTTAACTTCAAGTCTCTAAGACTCCAGATGCTGTGTCTTGCAATAGCCGGGCATCGTCAGCTTTCTTCACCACATTAGCTTATGTACCCATTTTGTCTACAGCGATCATGTCGGGAAGGTGAGCATCACAGAATGCCAGGTTATTAAAACCAATTGTTCTTACGTTGAGGGAGAACTTGAGTAGAGGCCCAATGTCCATCTGCTACCTTAATACCTAACCTGTAATTATATGTATAGACCTATCTTTGCTTTTTAATATGCTTTAAAGAGATATTTTCCATCACATTTGCCCAATACAAGAAGTCTGTGATTTCTTTACTGCTCCTTCAATGGTTGTTGATTGTGGATCCAAGTTAAATTAAATCCTTGACATCAGTCTGCATTGACAGAGATGTTGCCAATTGGTTGTGATGATTTTTTTGCTCTAGGTTAAAGTGTAACCCATACTGAAGGCTGTAGTCTTTGACCTTCATTAATAAGTGTTTCGTGTCTTTACTTCTCAGCAAGCAAGATTGTGTAACCTGTATATCAGGTTGTTAATGGCACTTCTTCCGAGCCTGAAGCCTAGTTCTTCAGAGAGTCTGCTTTCTTGGATGACTTGCTTGGTATGCAGATTGAATAAGGAAGGTGCAAGGAGAATACTTTCTTCTATTAAATTGGCATTCTATGATGCTCACCTTCCCGACACAACTGCTGAAGACAAA